ACACTCTTTCAACCACTCTGTGAATTCCTTGTCAATGTTTGCTCTTTGTGGCTAAAAAAAAAAAATTAACAAGAGTGAATGATATTTAAATATACACTGTACTGTTCATACTGTACTGTAACAGAAAAGGAATATAAGAATTAAAGAAAACAACTTATAGCTACTACTAGTGAACAACAGCTTTATGGTAATTCTAAGGGTCTGTCATTAATAAAAGCTATTTTCATTCAGTCAAAATCTGAATGATTCTCAAATCAAAGAATGAAAAAGATCAAAAGGTAAACCCTTGGATGTAAATTAGGAAAGGCAAGTTTGGAACTTTGAATAATATAAATCATGGGCAAAACCCCAAAATAACAAGCCAGAATACACAGTTTAAAATATATATATATATATATATATATATATAGAACTGGAGGTCGCTGGAACAGAATGTTGCTACTCGGAGTTTCACGCTATTGCGATCGTCAGGCAACTGATGAAAGGTGAACGATGTGGGGTGATGTGACTTGCTTGTGCGGACGTAGTATGAAGTTAGGTTATTGCGGACGTCGGAGTTGCTGTTCGGAGGTAGTGCTTGTTTTCGTGGCGGCATTTCGATACAAGTTCTGACCTTCTGTTTAGGAGTCCCGTCCTTCCCGCGTTGATGATGGCAAGCTTCTCTGATATACATAGGTCGCATCGTTTCGTCTTGTTGTTGAATGCCTGGGCTTTGGTAATGATAGACCAAGAGATGGTGAATGGTTGATTTTTCTTTTTGAGTTCCCATATGTATCTGGAGAGTTCGGTGCTGTGTTGGTGTTTCTCCCTCTTGAACGATTGTGTGTGGTTGTAGTATCTGGATTTAAAAATACAAAGAAGTTCTTGGATTGTATACAGCCAAGTTGTTCTTTTTATTAAATATTTAAGAAAAGCAAGCAACAAGAAACCACTTACTCCTGCACAAATGTATATGGTATTAGCCTTCCATTCCAATAGCACTCAAATATAGGTCTATTGCCCCTCGCTGGCCTGTCCTGCACATAAAACTCCAGCTCTTCTTCATTTATTATTAAGTCACTGTCAACTAAATGTAGAAATTAGTGCACAATAATACTACAGTTATAAACAGTTTGGTGCTACTTAGTAACATGTACAACAACAGACACCTGACCTAGCAGTGCTAAAAACCTATCAAACTTTGCACTTCTACAAGTTCATGTCAATGTCACGCACCAGAATAATTCTAATTAGAGAGCACCAGAGCCAGTAATCACATACTGTGGTAGACAGAACCGGGTGTTTATATTATCAACAGGTGATAAACGGATATGTGCACCTCGTAGTCACACATACAGTAAACTGTAAGCAGGTACAGTATATTAATAGAAGAATCAGAATGATGTTAACAGGAAATAGACAGATGAACGCCCTTCATAATTATGCACTTAGTACAGTAAACTTCAAGCAAATAAATTTTTAGATGACACTATGCGGATAAGATCTATGCCAATCATGAGACTACTGCTCAGAATTTTTACATTCCATTGAAAGATTAATGCGTTTTTATGTACATGCAGGCATACAGCATCTGAAAATAATAATATACCAGTTTAATTTAGGTAATCATCATGCCACCAAAGCCCTTCACTTTGTTACCAGAATCATTCAGTCAAACTTAACTATAGAACACATACTCAGCTCCCTGGGCAAATAATTTGACATCACTACAGCTATTAGTCTGCAGCAAATTGGCATTCAAGCCTGTTGCCTACTGTAACTGAACAGTAGGTACCTACTTGTTCTCTCCTGCATATAGAGACAAGCATAGGTAAAAAGGAACACAAGCGAAATGCATGATTGAACCTGACCTCATGGTTTTGAGTGTAAATTGCAACCAACAGCCACTCCTGAATTGAGAATCTATATGCACAGCATAAAGGGCTGAATGACTATGGTCATATGTCACAGTACACTCTGACACAGGCTATGTGGATATCAAATTAGCTTAAATGAAACACAGCCAATGTGGGATGGAGTGCTAAGAATTTTGACATTATTTTCAAGGGAGGAAGGAAGGGTAAATATTAGCTTGAACCAATCATGAAGAGAATTTAACACGGTGCATCTTCTATCAGATCAACGTGGACAAATCACCACCTTGAAAAATTTGTGGTTTACAAAAATTTAACAGTAACAGTTTCCACAAACATAAAATTATTTGGACAGTTAAAACACATACACAAGTGAACAAATAAGTGCTGATTAACAAAATGTGTTTAGTGACATACATACTGCACATAACAAAAACATAAATGACATTACCTTCATTTCCTACATGAAGTGCTGTAAATAGAATTAAGTTCTTATTAGATTATCACAATTTCAGAATTAACTTAGCTTTCAATTTATTAGTAAGTGGACATGCTTGGGTGAAGGAAATAGCAACCAGTAATATTACTACTAAATACAGGTAACCACATTAAAACAACAATAAGCAAATTATTGCATATTTTTTAGGGCAATGTTGGAAACTATTGACCTACTGTATTGAACCATTATTGCCTTGAAAATAGCTATATAAAAACATAAACAATAATGACAACACACCACACAAAAATAATAGCACTACAAAACAACAATAATAATGACAGTAACAACAATAGGCAAGACTTTGTTTATACCTTGTTTAGCTAACCCGCTGACTGCAGATATTGATGATTCAAAATAAAAATCAAATTTTATTTTTGGCCAATTAGCACATCCGCCACGAAGAAGTGGAAAATTCAGAAAAAAATAAAAAATTTTCTTTATTTTTATTACGCCCTCTGCTACCTTGTAATCTCCAAAGATAAGATATGTATTTCTTTCCAATTATATAAATTTGAAGCATTTGACCATCCTATTTTACTTTCACCAATAAAATTTTATTTCTATTTTCTCTTCCGTCTGGATGTTTTTGGCAAAACTATTTGCTAAATAAGAAAAAAAAAAATTTTATTTTTATTCCGCCATCCTCCGATGATCTTTAAAAAAATAAGTACGCGAAACAAGGGATAAAAAAAGTCATAAAAACAAAATAATAATTAACAATTACAACAATGTCTATTGGTCCTATATATAACACATAATGCATGAGCTTCAACAATACACATTACATTTACCCTGGTCCTGTAACATATACCAATGAAACACACAAACTGTTTCCTTAATATTGTTCAATGCTTGAACATACAGTACTTTGTCAGATAATGATGAAAAGCAATATCTGACTTAAACATTATACAAATATTTGGTTTCCAACATTATCAATTTTTTTTGAAAGACAAAAAACAGATACAGAAAAACATGTCTTTCTAGTCTAAAAATTTGTTTTATCTGACTCAACCATGTTTGATCAGACAAGATGATTTCAACATGCATGAAAAGACATGTTTGATTAGATAGGTCAGAGGTCAGGCATACTCTCAGATTTTGTTTGATGAACAATCTTATAGTGTATGGTAGGTTTTATAAAAAATTTTAAAAACCCTTAAGTTTGTACTTACTTCTGTAAGGTGTATTTGAGGGGTAAGTTTCTTTGTCATAAAGGAATGGATGGTATCTCAATATTCCCTCCACAATTCCTGTTCCTTCAACCTTTGCACGAAACTCAAAGCTGTCACTGCCAGCAGACCGAATAAAGTTAGTTTGCTGGTCAGAGTCAATATCTCGCAGACTTTTTTCCTTCGGAGATTTACCCTTCTCGTAGAGTGTGATGTCAATATCAAGGTTCTTGAATGGAGAGGGCGCCCTTTGATGGCTACTTAGGGACCTTTCTTCATTGCCCTTAGGACCATGGATGTAGTAGTGATAGATGTGCCTAAATAAAGAAGTTGTTTAAGGTTGATTTTTATCTCTATATTATATCACAAAGTAGAAAGACGATGATGATGGATCACAATGATGATCATGAAAATAAAGATGTTGATCATGAATATGGACATGATAATGATAATGGGAATGATTGTGATAATTTACATCCAATTCTGCTAATGATGATGTTAACAATGATGCTAATCATGGTGAAATAATCAACAGTGTACGACAATAATACTGATCGTGATGGTGAAGATAACGTTGATAAAGACAACAACAATGATCATAATAGAGAAATTTAGGCATCAAATGACCTAACTTGGGTGTTGGATATAAACAATCCACTGACACAGCGGTGTTTTACATGGAGTTTTTTATCGCGGCCGTCCCTTGTTTATTGTTGTAAAGGTCATCATAATTCCCAGTAAACTACACCAAATTGATTGGAAATAAAAATAAATAAATAAGAATTATGCTTTAATGTTTTGCTAATCCTGTAAAGGATACTGACCACAAACATTGAGATTATTTTGACAAATGTTAGGCCTAGGCCCCTGCACATCTACGGCATGGTTAGGTATGCATGATGGGCTTCGACCTGCGAACTACGCTGCGATGTTAGGGCCAGCTAAGGATGAAGGATCACTTAAATTTGGAAGCATACAATCCAAGGAGAACGCTAGGATAAATAAACACTATTTTGAACAATCGTATTGCATTTCCTAGCCATTTACCTCTTACGTTAACAGTGTGTGGTTGTTTTCGCAACCATAACATTATCTTTTCCTATGCTATCGCACTGTAATGCTTTTCATGTATACCCAAGTTCGGTCACATGACTGCCTGTAAACAGTCATCGCTAAATCCATCTATGATCATGGTAATAATAATGGATTTGATAATTATATAAAATAAAGTCAGTAAAGGTATGCCCTATACTCACGCCAACTGCCTACACCATCCGTCGAAGTCTGACTTTAAGTACTGGATATGCTTACTCTCAATGCCCGAGATAGCAATGTTTGTGAAGCTTTCTTGGTCCAATTCATCTTTTATTAATTGCTGCATGTGCTTGCTCTCTGGAGGAACATGGTTAATATCACCAGGCTAGAAGACAACCACATATCATTTTTACAAATGCTCAAAAAATTATAACATGTACCTGTACAACAACAAAAACTGCTTTTGTATTATCAAAATCACTGCTTGTTGTTGGTATCATTAAGAATTATATACCTAAATGCTTTTCAGTAAGTTGACTTGAGTTAAAAATGTAGAAACACAGCATGTTTGAGAAGTGCCTACCTGCCAGGTTTGGTGACTAGTTTGGTGGAATAAAGGAAAAATGAACAGTCTATTGTGTATGTAATTAAGGTAACATCAGCCTACCTTTCTATTTTGTATGAATCCCCTATAGATCGATTCCTTCATTCTTTCTCGTCTTTCAAATTCTTCTTTGGAGACTGTGAACTCGTGCACATCTTTTGAGCCTCTCGGCTTTGAGATCATCTACAAAAACAATTTAAAATTAAAGGAAATATACCACAGAGCTGAAAAGAGGATGAAAACAGATAACTCAACTCCCTTCAAAACTAGATTTATTACATGTTTGTTTTTACATAAAATCATAGGTATTTTACACCACAAGTTTTTACATGTGAAAATCATCATTTACAATGAATGAACTACTAAAAAAAAACTCACCACAGTAGAACAACCGATGAAGAATGCTGCTTGCTTTCCCCCAACACCAAAATAGGAAATATCACTGTTGAGTGAGCGGGGCATTATAACTTGCTGGCTAGTATCACCATCCCTGAAGAGACAAATATAATATGTCATACATCTACACATGGCTTTCAATGCATATGAGAAGAATATTATACTAAAAAAGTATTTATAAGTATTTTATACAACTGATGGAGATCTTTCACCACAAACATTCTACTTACATGTTTTTCTCAATATCTTTATCTTTGCGTATGAATTTTGAGAGCCTGTATACAGCCCAATTCTGCAAAGCTTTTGATGTCATTCCTTCGCCATTGTCACATACAACAATCATGTTTTTCCCCATAGTTTCATCAAAATACTGGAAGAAAATGGAATTCAATAAATACTTAGCATTTTCAGGCTACGCTGGTCGGCGGTGGACGGGCCCTTCCAGCACTCAACATTTCTGACCAGGATTTACAGGCTCCCGACCACCACTATTATTTCAACAGTTTACAAATTGTAACAAAATAATTAGTTTACCTAAACACAATAGACAAGCTAAATTGATAGATAAAGAC